CCAACCTAAAAACTACACCTAGACTTAAAGGGAAGTAAGAAGCATAGAATCATCTAAAAAATCTAGTTTTACTCACCACCAACAATTCTAGAAGAAGGAGAAGTGCCAAAGTATCAAGAAAAAAGAAAAAAAAACATTTTATTTGTGTGTCAAAGCAATAAAAGAACTCGAAAAGCACTATGACATAAAGGTGGCAAAACAGAAAGATGTAACTAGAATAAAACTTCAAGGTACATTAATTTGTGTTCTTTATTTTTCTTAAAGTCTTAGCTCACTTTCTTAAAATAACCTACCTTGAACCCAAGCCCTATTACAAGCCAAGTAAAAGTCCTATTAACCTGCGAATGTATGTGTTTTAATGATGGGAATTTAAAGATCTTTCAAGCCTATGGTAAAGGATGATGTCACGATGTAATGATGAGTGAAATTTTCAGCATAAACACTTGAAATATTAGAGTAAACACTTTACCATGAGAGGATGTTCCCTTGAGATGAGTCCTAAAACTATTAAAAAGTATTTGGTCATGATAATACTTTGTGAATTATGATCTTGGTATTTTTTCTTCTCTCACTTTTGGTTGATGAAGTTTTTCTTGACCATTGTAGTTTTTAAGATATCACTAGCGTTTCCAGCAGTACCCATCTTTGCATTGCATGCATTCTTTTCTTTTCTTTTTCTTTCTTCTTTCTTTCTTTTATCTTTTGTTTGGAAGTGCAAAAGAGCAAAAGTGGGGAGTATTTGATGTATGCCATTTTACTCTTTATTTCTTTATCTAAGAACATTTTCTAAACTAATTATTTTGTTTATAAACCATGCATTTAACATGTTTTCATTAAAAGCATATCATAATTCAATGTTTCTTAATTTATTGCATTTTGCATAGTTTTAGCATAAAAAAAATACATGCATATATCCACAATGCATATATCTTTTTTTTTCTTTTATAGGATAAAGGTAATTTGAGATGGGTCAAAATGGAAATAAAGGCTAAAATTGATGCAGTCGCGCTACACTCTTCTCGAAAGCCCAAGTTTACTTGTGTAGCCCAATTGTAGAATGTTACAAATGAAAATTTTAAATCAAGCAAATTAACTGGTGCAAGAATCCAATTTAGTTGAATTAAAGGCCAACGGGAATCAAGAATGAAATGCAAATCAGTGTTTGATCACTCAAAATTGAAAAGAAGCATATTATTTTCTCCAAATCAGTCCTATAAATTTCTCTTCACAATAATCCAACTTTGCAATTTTTAATTTGGGAAGCATTTGATTTTATTGTAATTAATTTCAAGTCTAATTTCTCTTGTTCAAACCCCTATAAATAGAGGTTTGATGAGAACATAATCATAATCTACTGCTCCAAGGCGAGATGTTGTTTCCCCTCATCCCCGTTTTCCTTGTTTGTTCTCAGTATTTAGTTAGGCGAGTCATCTACTACTACTGCACTTCCAATTTGTTCTCTTTTATTTAATTTGAAATTTCTATTGAATTTTTCAATTTATATTGTTCTATTTACTTTATTCATTCAATGATCATTTTAATTTTTTCTATTTAATTGTTTAACATTTTTAGTTTATTTTGGTATTGCTTAATTTTTGTTTTCAATTCATCTCATTTCTAGTTTCAATTCTCAATTTAGTTTTAGAGTAATTGTTTCTAGAAAATTTAAATTTAATTACTGCACTTTTATTTTAAAATAAATTTTTATTTTACACATTTAATTAAAAGCGTTTATTTTAATTTTATAAATTTCAGTTATTTAAATTATGTTTCAATTTAATTTTAATTGTCATTAATATGCTAATGCAATTCGATTTTAATTTTTATTATTCTGCATTAATTTATTTTATTTTTAAAAAAAATTACTCGTTCATTAACCCCCATATATACTATTATTTACTTGTTTTTAGAGAAAATGATATGTGATAATAGGTACATTCCTATAATTGGGTCTTTGTGAGATTCAACATGGATTAACTATATTGCATTAGTTCAACTTGTTTATTATTATTTATCAGTATTTTGTGCGACCAAAATGTTGTCATCATTCACTCACTGGCTCAATGCATGCCACCTGTTCAGTCTTTTGCCATTGGATTGTTTCACTATTTTGCTTTCTTTTACTCTATATATTATGTCTTCTATTTGTACATAAACGAGAGTTGTTCTCTTTTTCAATAAACAAAGTTTTTTTCTTTTCAAGTTTTTACTTTCTCTCTCTGTTTCTCTTTCTCTGGTTTCCGCTTTTGTCATCTTCGTAGTTTGCTTCTCTTCCTTATTCCTTTATGAATTTCTCTGATAATCTCGTTATGGTATCAGAGCGCTTCTTTTGAAGAGCTTTGTTGTGTAACTCAAACTCTTTCTTCTTCCTTCTTCCTCTTTTTTTTTCTTCTTTGTTTTCTTTATTTCTTCAATGGCATATGAAAATATTACTCCTTGCTTTCTATATCTTCACCCAAATGAGAACTCAACAGCTACTCTTGTTTCACTGGTTCTTAGTGCATCCAATTACCAATCATGGAGCATATCGATGGTCATGGTCTTGAGCGCAAAAGACAAGGTTGTGTTCATTCTTCTATCGGGCAACCATCCAAAGAATACAAGAATTTCTTTCTCTGGAATAGATGCAATCACATGGTTGCCTCATGGTTGGTCCATTCAATTTTTGAATCCATACGCCAAAGCATAATATGGATGGACAGAGCGATGAACATATGGAACGACTTAAAAAACATATTCTCTCAAGGAAAATTGGCTCGCATCTCTGATCTTCAATTTGAAGTTGTTACTTTGGCACAAGGTGACTTGAGTGTCTCAGATTATTTCATCAAGCTGAGAGTTGTTTAGAATGATTTAGACAATTTTTGGCTAGATCCTGTTTGCACCTGCAAGAAAGAATGTAACTGTCAAGTTCTTCACATCATGACTCAAAGAAAAAAGGAAAATTAAGTTATGTAGTTCCTTTAGAGATTGAACGACCAATACAACAATATCAAATCCCATATTTTACTGATGGAGCCCATTCCAAATATCAAAAAAATCTTTTCTCTGGTTATACAACAAGAAAGGCAATTGTCTATTGGTAATTTAGTTGTTACTGTGAAAAATAATAATCATAATGTTGCTACAGGATCCACAACCTGCACCTATTGTGGTAAATTGAGATATACCGAGACAGTCTGTTATTGCAAGAATGGTTGTTTCCCTAACCAAGAAATAAAAAATTCAAGAGGTAATAGTAATAGAAAGCTCTGCACTCATTGTGAAAGAATCAAGCACACAATAAAGGTATGCAATAAAAAACACAAACATCTACCAAGCCACAAAATTTTCAACAAAAAGCAGTCTCAAGTAAACAATGTATTAACACAAGAAGACAACGGCGTTGGAAAAGATCAAAACTGCAATGAATTTGTTGATGTTTGCCTCACCCCTCAACAATATCATATTCGTGTTGATATCTTCAAACATGCCACTCAAAACAACACTCAAATACAAGCCAATCAAATTGGATATGTTTTAGTTATTCATTGATCAGCAGGTCATATCAGTCCTATATTTAATTTTAACATGAATAAGAATTTTTGGATCCTTGATTTGGGAGCAACAGACCATATATGCACATCTTTAAATTATTTTTCATCTTACAAACTTATTAACCTCATTCACATAAGTTTTCCTAATGGAAATTTTGTCACTGCCAATTACAATGGAAAAGTTATTTTCAATTTTGATCTTTATCTTACTGATGTTCTTTATGTGTCACAATTCACATTTTACCTTATATCTATCTCTAAATTAGTTCTTTATTTTAAATGTCAATTAACCTTTTCTCTTGATGGTTGTTTTATACAGGACAACAACAAGAAAGTGAGGATCGATTTAGTTAAGTTGCATGTTGGTTTGTATGTTTGTAACATTCCTATGAACAAGTCTGACTCTCAAAATAAGCATTCTTCTAATTGTACTGTCAAGAATATTAGCTTATGGCACTCTCGCCTAGGACATCCCTCTCATGAACGCTTGATTCTTTTAAAGAACAAATATCCTTATGTTTTTGTTGACACTTCTCATATCTGTGATATAAGGCCAAATAAAGAAAGTTACTGTTTCTTACTAATGTGTCCTCAAGTTCTAAAAGTTTTGATCTTGTTCACATGGATATTTGGGGGCCTTGCAATATTCTTTCTATGCGTGGTTATATATATTTTCTCACCATTGTCGATGATTTTTCTCATTATACATGACTATTACCTGTAACAAATAAATTTATTATTCGAAAATTGATTGTTGATTTTGTTACTTATACTAAAAACTAGTTCAATACTAGAATAAAAAATATTAGAATTGATAATGGAGTTGAATTCAATACATATGATTTATACTTTCTTAAAGGCATAATTTATCAAACCACTTGTGTCGAGACACCTGAACAGAATGGTGTGGTTGAAATAAACCACCAACATCTTTAAAATATTATTCACTCCTTTTATTTCAATCTAATCTTCCCTCTATCTTTTGGTGTTGAACTGCTCAACACGCAATTTGCCTTATTAAATGCATGCCTACACCTTTTTTTAATAATAGCACTCCTTATAAAAAGCTACATGGGAATTTGTATGATTTGTCATATCAGCGTGTGTTTGGATGTCTGTGTTACTCTAACATTTTTGCTTCCCACAAAGAAAAGCTAGACAGCAAAGCAATTCTTGAAGTCTTTCTTGGTTTCAAGACTCACACAAAAGGGTACCTATATTTAAATTTGCATAGATTGGAAGTTTCACATAATAAATTTTATGAAAACCACTTTCCTTATAACACTAGTAAAAATAATGATCCTGATAGTCTTTCTTTACACATACCCACCACCAATTATGACAACTTTTCTGATACCCACTCGTAATGACATCATTGATCCTGATTTAATTTTAATATTACTAATGTTGATATTAACAATGATGCTACTAACCTCACTGGAAACACTACTGCTATTGGATCGAATGATGTCACCTCACCTTTTCAGACTATTGAAGCACCTCTTGGACCAAATAATGCCACCTCGACCATTGAAACTAATGAGGCACTTGCTGGACCGAATGATACCATCTCATCCATTGAGATTGTTGAAACCCCTCTTAGAAGGTTCACCCGTACAAGACAAGCACTCACTTATCTCCAAGGCTTTCACACAAACATTGCGGTAAGATATCTTTTACATAAATATATTTCATATGATAATTTTTCCTTAAATTTTAAACACATTGTCCTGTTCATTTCTACTTTAATTGAGCCACACAACTACTCTAAGGCTTCCAAATTTCCCCAATGGATAAAAGCTATGGATGATGACCCACAAGCCTTAAATACCAACCATACTTGGATCTTCATAGACCTTCCTCCTGACAAAATAGTTATAGGTTGCAGATGGATCTATAAAATAAAACACAAGTCTGATGGAACAGTTGATCGCTTCAAGGCCCATCTAGTTGCCAAGGGATAGACCTAACTAGAAAGCTTAGATTATTTGGACATGCTTGTCCCTGTAGCCAAGCTTACCACCCTTCGTTTATTACTTGTTGTTGCTACTTCAAACAACTTGACGTTAACAACATTTTCCTTCATGGTGTTCTCCATGAAGAAGTGTACATGCAACCTCCACCTAGTTTATCTACCCCTGGCCCCAACAAAGTTTGCAAGTAACATCGCTTTTTATACGGCCTCAAACAAGTTGGAAGACAATGGTACGCGAAGCTTTTTTCCTTCCTTATTTCTCATAATTATACATGTTCTTCATTTGATCAATCCCTTTTCTTAAACATGAAAATTCTCACATTATTTCCTTTTTTGTTTATATTAAGGATATTGTCTTGATGGGCACCAACAATGCTGAAATCAACAACATCACCATGTTACTTGACCAACAATTTCTTATAAAAAACCATGGAAACCTCACCTATTTTTTAGGCTCGGAAGTTGTCAGAAGTTCAACTGGTATTCATCTCAGCCAATGAGGATATATCCTTGACCTTCTACAAGAAACCAAAATGACAGATTCTACTTCTACACCCATGCCCACATTTATGGTACATTCTTCTAGTACCAATTCCATCAAAGTTAACACACCCCTTAATGAAGAAGATGTTTCCTCCTTTCATTGTCTAATTTATCTCACAAACATTAGACTAGATATCACCTTCTTTGTCAATCATCTTAGCCCGTGTTCTCCTACTACTTCTCACCAAAAAACCGTCAATTTCATTCTCCACTACCTCAAATGTCATATCGGTAGTGGTCTCCTCTTCAAAGTTCACAAAAACCTCAACTAAGAGCTTACAGTGGCTCTGATTGAACTTCATGCCTTGACACTAGGAAGTCGATTACTAGCTTCTCCATATACTTCGGTGATTCTCTTATCTCATGTAACTCCAAAAAGCAACAAATCGTGTCCAGAAGTTCTGCAAAAGTTGAGTATCGAGCCCTTGACTATACTACTTGCAAGATCTAGTGAATTACATACACCCTGCACGAACTTCGTATTCCTTTCACAAACCTAACCATTATCTATTGTGACAATTAATCGCCATTCACATTGCCTCCAACCAGTTATTCCATGAACGAATGAAGCACCAGGAGATTGATCGTCACATTGTTCGTGACAAAATCAACAAAGGGATCATCAAGCTCCTTTCGGTCTCTTCATCCCTTCAAGCAGCTGATATTTTCACCAAACCCTTGACTCTTTCCATCTTCAATAATCTGTGTACCAAGCTAGGAATGATGAATATTTATTCCCAACTTGAGACGGGATGATAAATTATTCATTGACCACCATAGCGCCACTCATTGGCATAGTGCATGCCACCTATTCGATCTTTTGCCTTGAGTTGTTGCGTTGTTTTTGCTTTCCTTTACTCTATATATTTGTGGTATCAAAGCCTTGTTTTTACGATTTTAAAGTTTTTGGTTTTTTGAAAAATTTGGGTCGTGGGGAAGTGAGCTAGACATTTTTCTATTGTGTGTTTTTTGGATGCTTTGATTGCAGGATCTCTTTGGAAGAGTCTGTGAGTGAGTATGATGCTGGTAAATTCTGATGTGGTTAGATTGTATGTTTGTGATGCTTGGGTGATATATTTTGTGTGCCTTGGATGATTGAAGTACTTATATTGTTAGGCCGATTTATTTTACTTGATGTATGTGGTCCAAATGGCACGTTGTGGACCAAGTACTTCGAACCCTGCCCAGCCCGTTGATGAGATCGCACTGGTCATCCAACAAATGGTTGATGTGATTCTGCAACAATTTCATGAGGCACAATCCTACAAGTTCAATGGGAATGCCACACCTGATGAAACAGATGCTTGGATTCGAGAGAATAAGAAGATCTTTAGGGTTATTGTTTGTCCTGAAGAGCAGAAGTTGACTTATGCGTCATTTCTTGTGATGGGTGACGCTGAATATTGGTGGAATAATATGCAACAATATATGAAAGGGCGTGGTGAAGCGGTTAATTGAACCAATTTTAGGGTGAGATTTCTGGGACGACAGTTGTTCTCTTTTTCAATAAACAAAATTAATTTTGTTCACGTTTTTACTGTCTCATTTTTTTATTTCTCTTTCTCTGATTTTTGCTTTTCACACTTTCGCAGTTTTCTTCTTTTCTTTCTTTCTTCATGAATTTTTCTAGTAATCTTGTTAGTCAATAATTTTAAAGTTGATAATATTTAAAATGATAATTGACTCAAAAATGTTAGTATAAAACATTTTTTCAGCCTTTAACTTGGTTGACTTCATCTTGATAATGTACGTATATGGTAGTTTTGCCTGTTGATTGTCGATTTTTGTTCTTCAATAACATGCTATTAAATTTATAATTCATAAATAATATTGTTCTATCAATATTTACCTGACTAGCATGCTATTAAATATATAATTCATAAATAATATCATTCTATCAATATTTATCTAACTAGCACCATTTTTACATACCCGATTGAAATTGGGTTACCAGGAGACCGAATTCGACCTCATTAATTAATATAATTTTTAAAATAAAATAATATTTATTAAATATAATAATTAAATATAAATATATATATTATATAAAATAAATATATAAATATTATATATATATATATATTTAAAAAAAATATTTATATAATTATATGAAATAAATATAAATATATTTTCTAAAATAACATAAAAATATATTTATATAATTATATTATTAATATATTTTTATAAATATAGTAAAAATATATTAAAATATAATAAAAATATTTATATATTTCTATAAAAAATATTATTTTTACCTATTAAAATTATTTTATATTAAAAATATATTTAAATAATATATATAATTTATTTATGTAAAAATGTTATATAGAAAGATATAAATATATATTTATTATATTTTATGATATTTATAAAAATATAAATAAATATTTAAATATTTTATATATATATATATATATATATATATTAAATATATTTGGCTTTACTATATTTATAAAAATATATTAATAATATAATTATATAAATAATTAAAAAAAAAATATATATATATATATATATAATTTTTATATATATTTTTTATATAAAATATATATATATATATATAATATTTATATATATTTTTTATATAAAATATATATATGTATATATATATATTTAATTATTATATTTAATAAATATTATTTTATTTTTAAAATTATATTAATTAGTGAGGTTGGAATTCGGCCTCCTAAGAATCAAATTCCAACTGTGTAAGAAAATTGTGCTAATCAAGTAAATATTGATAGAATGATGTTAGTTCTGAATTATAATTTTAATAAAATGTTATTGAAAAAAAATCTTAAAATATTTGACTTTTTATAAAAGTATGTTATTTATGTAAATATTACATATACAGTGTGCTGTATATGAAAATTTATCTTAAAATAATGTTAAGTGAAAAAAAAAAAACCGTCGATTGTCATTGGCAACGTGTGTGTTTGGAATTGAAACCCATTAAAACCAACGAACGTGTATGAACATTGATCAAGAGTGGTCCTTGGTGCATTTTGTGATGTGTTACTATGATCCAATATTATCCATTGTGTTCAAGATTCATGTTGGTCTTAACTTGCTTTTTCAAGTGGGGCTGAGTGCAGTGTGACCTTGCTAGGGCAACCCTACAATTCAAAAAGGGCTACTGAAACTTGATTATCCAAAAGCAAAAACAGATCGATGAATGTGGTTTTGTTGAATGTAAATGGGAGCATATAGACACTTTTAACCTTTCCGTTTTTTAGGGTCAAATGTTGAACGTTGGCGTATCCTTAATCAGATCCGTTGACTTTTCACCGCCACAAACCTTTCATGGGGCACATAATGCTTGACCTTAAAATAACAGGTCAGTGATGGATGGAGACACATGTGTAACAACAAGTGTTGGAATGTGGAAACAACAATCAAAATTCCTTATTTCAACATTCAACATGAGATGAAAATAAAAAATATTACACTTTTTTTAAATTGTATATATATATATATATATATATATATATATATATATATATATATATATATATATATAAATTATATTACATTGAAACAGACGAGTTCCACGTTCACATTGTTTATCAAATCAGATCAATATATCTATTAGAATAGATAAAATAAGCAATAAATTTCGATACCAAGACATGTTGGTACATAACGTTTTATGTAGAACATTTATTTAAAATTTATATTCTTTTATGACATTATTTATTACATTTTAATGGATACAAAATCTGTAGAGTTGACTGATTTGTAATACTACAACATTTGGTCTTACAACCCCAATTGTCTCTTTCAATAAACCCTTTTTTCTCATTCATATGTGATCTAAAATTGAAGTTAAAGTGTTTGATAAAAAAAAAAAAAAGTTTACACAGATGCTCACCTTGATAACTTGTATGAGTTAATTTTATGATGATGAGTTTTATTTTTAGAGTAGTAAGTAAGAACTAGCAACAATGCATAGAGAAGGACAGGGCAAAAGAAAATTATTGGAAACCGCTTAGAACCAACGAGATATTTAAGACTTACGAATAGTTGCAAGTTGCAAAGCTAATTTTGTCCAGAGTTGGAAAAAGAAAGAAGAAAACATAGCAAACAGTGGCTTGAATAATTCATCACTTACGCTTATCATATCGGATTTTAAGCGATTTGTTTTCAATTAACCTTGGTTATGCTTCTGTTCATCCAAATACTGTTGTAGGGTAATGGAAATAACACTACAACATGCCTATTTTACACTTTCAAAAACAAATCTATATATATACATTTTATCAGTAACTGACATCAATTTATATCAATTAAATTTTAATTGCTGCAATCTTAAAGTACTTCTCTTTGATTTATATATATAATATTATGCATGAATGTTGTATAATGGATCAATTCCATAAATTGATGCAAGGAATTCATTAGTAACGAGGAAGAGCTTGTCTTGGAAAGAATCAAACCATGTTGTATTTAGGTTTTCTACACATACTAAAAAATTATTCATTAGAGTTAATTTAGATAAAGTATTTTAATTCCTTTCTTAATTCCTACAAATGCATTTCAAGAGAATTGTATTTATTATTTGCAAATAAAGACTTTAATATTTTATTAGAAACTAAAATTGCCAATCAATATGGAAAAAGAAAATCACATAAAATGGAATAAGTCAAGAGAATCATTGTGTCTCTTAAAGTGGATCACAAGTGGTTGAGGTATATATTAACATAAATCTAACCGTGAAAAACATAAAATTTTCAGCTTTAAATCCTCTCAAAAATTATTTGGATTCATGTTTATTGTACGAGATTCTACGGGAAAAGATGAATCTTTGAACAGGATTCTACGGGATTATTTTTACTTTTTCTTTTTTACTGAGGTGAAGAGAGGCATAATACTTTTTATGATTACAGACAACAATAAAAACATTGAGTGCAGATGGATTGCTAGAATAGAACAATTCAGTATCTTGGATAAAAACTCTCTATAACTCAACTATGTTGTGAGATCAAAGTGACACAATATATAACCCTCATCATCCTCTCACTAACATGTTGTGAGATCAAAATGTTTAGATGTTATAAGGCATATAGCCAACAGAAAACCTCTGAAACTGGTTATCTTGATGAAGCAAAAGAGGCAAGTTGTATAGACATATATAGTTGGAGCACTGAGATTGGAGAAGTGACAGATCAGAAAAATGGTAAAGCAATGCCTCTTGATGAGTATATTTGATTTTTGATTGAATTGACAAGCCACTTACATGCTACTTAGTGACCACCCCACCCCAATGCATACATATCCTTCTATGGATAAATCGCAGAAAAATGGTGTTACGTTAACATTATATATGCGTGATATGTGATGAGACAAACAAGAAAATTGTGATGATAGCTTGGAACAGTGATTGCCACCATTTTGCTTGAAGTGGCCAAAGTGGACGAGCACTTCACTGTTGAGGATGAGAGGAAGACTTGGAGCATAGCACAGAACAGCATATACAGGCATGTTTGCAAAGAGATTCTTCTTCTACAAGATGGGGTCGATTGAATTTGTGTTAACACAGTACCAAGATCGTACTTCTCTCTCTATACCAGTTGGAACAATTGTGTTGTCAATCAACTCACACCACCATTTCATATTCCTAAGGATAACACCTTTTTCTCATTTCCCAATATTATGTTTTTTATGACAACCGTTGATCATACTTTTAATACTTTTCCTTTTAAAGTTAACATAAAATGTCATGAACAATTGCAGACAAGTCATGTCATCAGCTCAAACAAATCTTTTGTTTTCACATCATCTTTATTCAATGTGATTTTCAATTAACTTTTTCTCTGACTATTATCTAATATCTAGTCTCTCAAAATATAACAACCCAATATCATTAAATTACTCCTTTTCTATTGAAATAACTTTAATTTTTTTTCCATTCGTTCATTCTTCCTACGCTATTATTGTTTACAAGACAAGTTATAACTTCCTCTTAATCAAGGGAGGATATTTTGGAAGTTAAAACTATATTTAATTTATTATTTTAATCTCCTAAATTTAATTAATATTTAATATATTTACTTATATATTTATAATTTTATTTTTTTATTTTTTTCTTAATTTTGTAACTATCATATAATTTATGATTTTATCTCTGTCAAACTTAATAATCATTTAATATATTTAAGTATATATCTACAATTTTATCTTTTCACCCTTTCATCTTCTTTCTTTTTTTTATATTTATTAATAATATATTATTTGACCCCAAAATCAATAATCAAAATCCCTCACTCCCTAATCATAATATTCATTCAAAACTTCATAAATAAGAGATATGAAGTTCTTTTATCAATAGACCAAACCAATAGCTCTTTATGAAAGGAAAAATAATTTTATAATCTCTAGAGAGGTTATATCCAATTCCATTTTCTACCTTTATGAACTTGTTAAAATGTGATACTCAAAACCCTAATTAGAAAGGTAGATTACACAAAACTCAACCATATCAACAGCCTTTGTTTTAATATTTGACTGGTCACTAGTTAAGTAGGTCAATGGATTAGATACTGTTCTTTTCTTTGTATACTAAAGAAAGATGAGATTTAAAACTGATAACCATGCATTCAATCTTCAGATATTAAAAGCCCAAAGATTGGCCCTTTAATAAAACTTTCATCTCCTCTAAATACAACGAGACTGGCCCGCTTCGTTCTTTGGGCTCACCCTTACTTTGTACAATTTCTACAACACTTTCGTACTACCACAAAAACTATGACATCGTAAGAAGAAAATAATCATTAAATAAAGAAGATAACTTGTTCATGGAGCTCTCCACTGTTTCAGCTAATAACAATAATATTCCAAAAATCTTATATACGAAGTATTTTCTGCTTTTGAATCCTTATTCATAATGATTTTATTCTTAAATAATATTTCATAATATATATAAATTATAATTAATCTTAATTTTTAAATAAGATAAAACTCATAAACATACCACAACATAAGTCTCACAATTTATAATTAAAAGATAAATATAAATAAAACGACACTTTATACTCGTAATAAATCAATATTTCATTTAAAAAATAAAAATATTTTGACCTCATATATATTTTAATTAATATCATATAAATTACAACTAATAATAAAAAAACTGAGTTAAAAATTTACTAGAATATATTTTTCTCTCGTCAATTACTGATTCGCACGCAATTTTCCCATAAAAAAATAATTTGGTGGTTTTCCTTAAAATGTAGATTACATTAAGATATAAAAAAAAATCGTATTTTTATGATACAATTGAACACAATCCTATTTAGGTTTGCTATGACTATACCCAGCTCAATAACTTATGCATATTTAAAGCCCAATAATTAAACAATTGATGGCTTAATTGTCCAAGTCACCGATTTTTTATTACGGATTTGGGCTTTGAGGTCTGAAGATGTTTTAAATTAAAAATTCATGTTTTGTAAAAAAAATGGATGTACATATACGTTATTACATGGTTATTAAAATTGGACTTCGTGAGGAGTCGATTTGAAGTTTTTTAAAAATTAGATAAATAATAAATTGATCAAAAATTAGATAAATTAATTAAAAATTGAAAAAATGGATGAAATTGAATAAGTTAAGAAATTAAGTTAGGTTTTCTTTTTCTTAGAAGAGATTAAATAACGTCATTTTATTTTATATTTTTATTTTTAGTTCAATATAAAAATATATAAACATAAAAAAAAGTTATTTTTTTTATTAATTATTGTTATTGATATTTATTTTTTATTGTCTTTATTCGATTTATTGTTGTTCTGTATTATTATTATTATTATCTTTGAAGTTTTTTAAAAATTAAATAAATAATAAATTGATCAAAAATTAAATAAATTAATTAAAATTTGAAAAAATGGATGAAATTGAATAGATTAAAAGATTAAGTTAGGTTTTCTTTTTCTTAAAAACGATTAAATAACGTCGTTTTCTTTTATATTGTTTTGTTTTATATTTTTATTTTTAGTTTAATATAGAGATACATAAACATAAAAAAAATGTTATTTTTTTTATCAAGTGCTGTAATTGTTATTGATATTTATTTTTTATTAAAAAAATGTTATTTTTTTTTATCAAATGCTGTTATTATTATTGTTATTGATATTTATTTTTTATTATCGATTTGTTATGTATTATTATTATCATTATAATTATTCATAAAAATATAATAATATAAAAAAATAATATTTTTTTAATTTTAAAAATCAATTTGATAAATAAACATTAGATTAAAAATATAATAAATTATTTTCAAGTTTCATAACCAAATATTAAAATAAAATAAAATATATAAAATTTGAATTAGATATAATAAAAAATTAGGTGTAATTTTTTTCTTTAATTATTTTAAAATTAAATGTAATTTTTTTCATAATAATTTTTGAATTAGTTATAATTTTTTTCCGGTGGAGCCACAATTTCTTTGGTCTGATTATTTTGTACCATGTTTATTTATTATGATGTGATAAACATGTTAAATCTCGGTTACACTTTTAAATCCTAAGCACGGGTCCGGTTTTAATATGATTACTTAATTCCGTTCTCTCTTTTTCAGGATGCAAATGCTGACTCTATTGCTACAAAATAGACAACATTTGATTTTGTCCATGGAAAAGTTTGTGTAGCTGAAACGGTAGAAATAATCACAAATTTATGATAAATAATATGTGAAAATAATTATTCTTAAAACCCTCCTCAAAACAGTCACTTCTTAGGAGTGAGCAATACATATTTATGATAAACACTCCTTCTATTTAATAAATAATAATAATTCATTCAATACTTAAGGAACTAATAAATTATTCAGTAATTGTAAAAGAATTCAAATTTATTTCCTCTCCCAAATGTCCATTATATTTTAAAACGAATGTCATTAATTTCATCCGTCTTAAGAAATTTTTGTTTTTAAATCTTTTTACGTTTTTTAAAATGTAATAAATTTTCTGACAGAAACCTGTAATATTCTATTTTTTATTATTTAAAATATGATGAAAACCATTGAAAATTCTAAACTCTTAAGGAATAGGAATTTAATTTAATTAGGTAGATAATACAATCTTATAAAATTTTAAAAAGTAGAGTCATTTTCAGTTTTAAAATAAAAGCTATTTAAAACAACAATATTATTGAAATGCAGCTATTTTCATAATCTACTTAACAGTTACCATTGATGTAAAAAAAAGGGTTAACAATAACCCCAATTACAAAAAAAAAAAAGTAATTAAAAAGAAAAAAACAACAACCAAAGGGTTCTGAACTCTTGTATCGAAGACATACAAAAAGCCGACGGAGTCAAAACTGAGCCGAGAGAGAGAGTCGCTCAAGCGGAGAATTCAAGCCCCAGCTCCATCTTGCACGACTCACTCTCAGCCGAACCGCTAAAATTCTTCAACTCGATCCTTCTCTTCTTCACCGGAACCACGTGCGTCGCACGTGAAGCCGGTTCGAACCCAAGCGTAAGCTCCAAACCAACATCATCGCTTCGTTCCACGCGCTTCGGATTCGACTCCGGTTCATCTCGGAAGAGGATCGAAGCCTCCGCCGTCTCCACCGACACCATGCTCTCGGACTCCACGGCATTCGCCGCCTCCGACTGGTGGCTCAGCGACGATTCGTGACTTCCAGACCGGTTCATCACCTCTTCGGTCCATTCGCATGTCAGCAAACCCGGTTCAACGGAACCCAAATCGTTTCCCTTGTTATTGTTTTCGTTGGAGGTGGATTTGGGCTTGGCGTCAGCGAGAGGTCGCTTGACCCGAGACCGAGTCTTGACTCGTTGCTGCTGAGTTTCGTTCGACGCGGCGGAGTTCTCATCTTTTGACACATGACGTATGTCGTAGGCCTTGAGGGGTGGGCCTCGCCCGCTAGCCGCGGCTTCCGACGTGATGGGGGTAATCGGCGCACCTTTCAAGACGTTTTCCACGGCGGCTTGACACAGCTGCCAGCTCCCCGACCACAACAAACCAACTGAACCGTAAATCGGGTTCACTATCCGGCCGCATGCCTCGTACAACAAGGAACGAAAGATCGCTGCAAAATTCAAAGAAAATACCGAATTTTAGTAAATTTTATTCATATCTACAAAATCCGTTTGCAAGATGGTGGGTGCTGGGCTTTATAACCTCTCATGAGACTCTAATTCTACGTGAAGTGGGACTTGGGTTCCCTCACAAGAAAGTACGGGAAAATGGCACAAACCTGGACGAAGATGTTCGGGGCCTGCGTTAACGAGATTCATGAGCCCAGCACGGCCATAGAACTTAGCGAGAAAGACAGTAGCATTGGCTTGAGATTCTGGGCTTTTGATCCACTGTAAACAGGGTCTGATGCTGCAATTTTCACTGCAACCTTTTCTGAGAACACGACATCCATTGCAGCTCATCCGCATTTTCGAAGAGGCAATTGAGGATCTTGGAGACAGGAGAAGAAAGAGGAGAAATGGAAGATGTTTTCTGGTGTAGGTGAGAAAGGGGAGAGATTGTGCTCATAGAAATGAGCGAAAGAAGGGTGTATATATTTGTTGGGGGTTAAGAGAGAGAAAGAGGAAGTGGATTTTTCAGGTACTGGGTTGTGGGGAACGCAGTTGTTTCTCAAGAATTGTTTTATAGTATTACTAGTACTTTATTTAATAATAACAACACCAAAACACAAGCACAAACCATGGTTTCCACGTTCAAAAGAGGTTGGAGTTCGAGGAAGTAAACAGCTAGTTTTGCACGTTAGATTCCCACACTCATTGATAGCGCGTGCATTCAACTCCCAATCATAGGGACACTCATCCCTCTGTCATTGGGACGTAGATGACGTGGGATAACCCTTAAATGCCACAGACCCGGAGGTTTCTGGCACAACTTGCAATGCACGGCTGTCCAAATTTGTTGTCTTGTAAAGTACCCTTCAAAGGGGTGCTATATTACGGAATCTGCCACTGGAATGAGAGATAGAGGGTAAAGGTGAAGAGCATGCAAATGGGTACAAAAATTGAGGAGAGAAGGGCGAGGCGCGTGGCGGGCACGGTCAGGTGACAGAGTGCGGTCGAATCGCCACATATTGTGGAGTAAGGATCCATCCACTCATACTATCTCTCTTCAAACAGCGGTTTCTGAATAATAAATAAAAAAACAAATGGGAAAAAGGCTCCTGGTTTTCGGGAATTGGATGGAAAGCGGTTTTGGAAGAAAACCGAAGACTGGTTTCCGGTTTTGGTGTTAGGACTGTGGGCGCGGTTGATGAAAGGGAAAAGTATTAAAGCCAATGGTTTTGGAGATGAGGTGGGCGTTCGGTTCTAATCCAAGTTTACCTTTTTTTTTTTTGTTTAAATAAAATAACTAATTAGAAACACGCATAAGTTCTTTCTATGACAAAAATTAACATGCCCAAGCTCTGTTTCTTGTGTGTTAACCAACATCTATAATATTTTTTTTTTATTTTTCGTGACTTTTATTGACTTACAATTCCAAAATTATTCGACTTAATTAGTTTTCATGTTACTTCACACAAAATTTGGATCTTTAGTAATTCTGCACTTGAATTTAATTAACAGGTTACGTGGAGTGTGGAAGATGATAATTATGGTAACCAATAGGCATAAAATATCTTGGTGTTTGTTTATGTTGCACTGTGTACAGTTCGAATCAAAGCAATTCTTTCATTTCATAATGAGCAACACCAACCTTGTTGACTGTGTGGCATCAAGACACTTCCATTTTATTATTTATTAGAATTTGTATCCCACTCTTATTTAAAACTGCGAAGAGCCTTTAATTTGAGAACTTAGTTTGCTTATTTGTCTAAAAATACATAATATAACCTGTGTGCCACTCTTATTTAAAACTGAGAAGGATCATTTAAATTTACCACATTTATCATTTTAGTTCTCTTCTATTTACCGTAGTCAATCTACATGTGGCAACCAATATATGCATGCCCACCTACAATTAAGGGTCGCTAAACAATTATTTACAATATTTTTTTGAAAAGCAAATAATGTCACTATCAAGACAATAATGAATAATTTTTGGGATTGATGAAATTGTGGCAGAGTTTCGTTTAAAGAACGTTAACAAAATATATTTTCTATATTTTTTTTAAATGTAAAAATATCACTATAGAAAATAGATTTCCCAATTAAGTAAATTTTACTGTAACAATACTTTTCTATTATAACAAATCGTGACTGATTGATTATTCATTATGCCACGATTTGCTGTTACAAAATATTAACAATTTACATGAATTATTAAACAAAATTTAGAAATATGTTTGAGTCATAGACGCCGACTTTATTATTACTGGAAAGTAGGAGAATAGAAAGATGGAGCGAAGTTGCATGCGCATGCAGAGCACGATTTGCACACGGCTCGTGCCACGATTCTGGTGTGAGGCCAATGCAGCCCCTTCAGCCGCCACGTCTAAGTGTGAACCGCATCACTCTCTTTCTATTTTGTACATTGTAATTGCCCTCGCCATTTATTTTCACTATTCAAACTTTATGTTATTTTATGAAATTAGTTTAAATATCGGTACCTAAAACATATACCTATGTGTGCGAATATTATTATCTTTATTTCTCTTTAGTGTAAGACTCTTTCAAGAGGTGACAACAATTAAGGCAAGAACCCTAGCCCATACTCTCTAATTCTAAAGTCAAAATATTCACTTTGATTTATGTTATTGGCTATTACATTGTGATAGGGGACAATTACTTCACAAGTTATAATCAGTGCCACTTTTTTTCTTTTGTATCTAAAACGTTTTAAAGATACATAAATGTTATTAAAGTTCTATTTTATGGATAAACATGTTAGTTTGTGGGAGATCTTTTTATGCTCAGATTATATATAGTTGATTAATCACAATGAATTAAAACTGCTTGCGAATTAGACGTATACATTAACTATTTGAAAATATCTTCTTGAAATTAAAGACAAAAGGAGATAAGGATGAGGAGAAAAATGAGAAAAGTTGAAGGAAAACAAGAAATTCAACCCCAAAACTAGTGGCAAAGTGGGACAGCTACGGCTTCCAGACTTTGAGGAAAATTAAGAGTACAACCTAGCCAAACATTTTACTCTTCTTTTATATATTATTTATTTGTTCTATTTCACTTTGTTATAACACATTATTGAAAAAGTTTAAGTGAGAATAACGAGATAATTAACAACATTATGGTCAAACATCAATGATTCCAAAATCAAATCGTTAAGCAAGATGGATAAAATAATTAAAAAAAGAAGTTAAATGAAAAATCCTTCTTAACTTTTCATGAAAGGATAAAAAAATTTATTTACTGATGTTGAAGAACGTATTTTAAAAGATCAGATTATTCATCAAGAATATAATATGTTAATTTAGACTGCCATTTATAATAGATAAAAAAATATTTTTGTTATTAAAATAATTTTTAATCAAACTTATTTTTTAATCGAAAATATTTGATATATTGTTGGGCTAGAAAGCAAAACTTGCGAAAAAGTCAAATTTAAACACATGCATGATTTCCTGAATGAGTAATTTAGTGATTAGACGAAAATAGTTTTTTTTAATATTTTGAATATTATTTTTCATGAATTATATAATTCATTTATAAGTATGGCAGAAATTAAAATAATTGATATAATATTAATTATAAAAAAAGTAATGACATATTTGATTATAAAATGTTTAAATTGAATCACGCAATATGAAGTTGATTGAGTTGAAATTTTATATTTAATTTGAATGATTATTTAATAATAGAAAAGAAGTGGAAGGAGTGAGAATTTTGGGAATGACACGTGTGGAAAAGAGCAGAAAGTGGTAAATGGGGCGTTGATGCAGTGGTGGGAAGCATTACATGAAGAGAGCGCGTGGGCTTTAGCAATTACTAAGTTGGAATGTCAGAATTGCGGCCTTTAAAAAAATACAAATCCGTTTGCCAAAATATTTGGAATCTCATCTCCTTTCATTCCACTTTAACTCCTGGTTTTTGGGAACAATCCTTTAATTTTATTTTCTTTATTAATAATTAATTATTGTTGCTAACACTGGTTTTCTTTAAAACTAGTCACTGGTTTCTGGTTTTCTTTCACTCCTATGGGCGACTCTGCCCTCCACTCCACAATGGGTTTTACGTGGCTCCCACCAAACACTGTTTTCAATCTATGTTCATTGAATTTAATGCTTCATTAATTACAAAACTTTTATGATTAGTCTTCGTTGTTTAATCTTAACAAAAATGTTTAGTGGTTTGGATTCTGCTACTACCTCACCTACTCTCCTACATTATCCAATTCCACTCCTATTTTCTCTCAACTCTTTCCATGCTTAAATCCTCTTTCAATTTTTTGCATCCAAATGCTTTAATGTGAAAGTCAATTGTTTTCTCTTTTTCTTTTTTTCCTTTCTTTACTTCAATTGGGTTCGGGTGAGTCAATTCTCATGCTTCACCCTTTTATTATACTTCCTCCATTCTTTATTTTACAATATGACATAAATGAATAATTCGTATAATATTTTTATCATTCATTTTTTTTTTTCTGGTATAACTTCTATTATCATCTCTTTGAAACTTGTGATAAGTGTATAAAAAACTATCATATCCATTTCTTTTTATTGTTATTGTTTTCTGAAGACCGGGATATTAAGTTACATTTTTCAATATATATTTTTAATAATATAGCCCATTATTAGTTTAAGTTAGTCTAAACTATTTGTTAAATGGACAAGTTATATAGGTTTTGGTCTTAGCCTAGTTATAAACATGCTTGTTATTATTAATTCTAAAATTATTATTATAATTACGCCTTTTAACAAGTCTTCTAAATACAAAATAATAAGAGAAAATTGTTTCACGATTATTTTTTTGGCCTTTATAAAAATACATATGAGGTTATAAAATGCATGGGTTAGTAATTTTAATAACAAGTTTCAAATAATTTTATAAAAAGTAAGAAATACGATTATTTAATGTGTTATTCATTTTTGTATGCTTTTTATTCGTTTCAGCCATATTGTTTTTTCTATTTGTAGATTTCTTGGAATGAATTTGATCATAATTATTTTTCAACATCATCGTCATCGTTATCTTAAGATTTGTTAGGTTAATTTCATGTTTCGATTACCATTAATTATATATTTTAAAATATTAATATATTTTTTTAATTATTGTCAAACAATTTTTGTTTTCATTAATTGAAATTCTTTTAGTTCACATTAATTCAAAATTATTTTTTAATTGATATAATTACAATTTTTTCATCCTAATGGCTTATGTTTTTAATTAATATTAGTTATAATTTTTTACTAACTACATGAAAATTAATCTATGACTTATATAAGTCATTTTTTTTAAATAACATTAATAAAAATATTTTTAATTGATATTAATATTTTTTTTGGTGTTAATATATAGATTACGGTTATTTATTAGTAAATATCGACAAACGTATTTTTCAGCAAAAATTAACTAATTTTTTTCAATTTATGTATTTTATGCTTTTTTCAACGTAAATAAATATTTTTCCAGTATTTATTATTATTTTTTTCTAAAGTTAGTCAGAATAAGCATATTGAAGATGTTAGTTAAAAATTGACATCTACCAAAGTTCACATGATATTTTTAAATTGTTTAATATTAAGAAAAGGTATATTCTATGATAATTAAAAATATTTTTCTAAACAAAATTCAATAAATGAATAATTTATATAATTTTATTTAAACCAAACATTTGAAAATTTAAAACAATTCAAATTGGATGTATTAATTTTATTCTCGTGAAAGGGATGGTAGGGGTATTAAAAAAATAATAATAATAAAAAAAGAAAGAAGTTAGATTGAGTTGTACAGATTGGACACAACTTACTATGGTGTGTGTGAAGCCTGACCAAAATTTTTCCTGACCTTAAATTGGGCCAACCTCATCATGGGCTCCCCAACCTATTATTTTAAGTATTTAAGTCATATTTTATTATTTCAATTACTTTATTATATTTTTTGAACTAAATATTTTATTTATTCTATTTTATAGAACTCCAAAAACGGCTAGTAAGAGTGTATTATTAAAATTAAGATTAAATATTAATAATTTAAGACAATACTAATGAAGAATTAGATAAAGAAGAACAGTTGTAGCACTATTATTGTAAATATATAACAGTTTTTTTTTATTACTAATCACTCCTGACAGCATGTTTTTATTGCTTTCATCTTTTGAAAAAAAATGAATGTTCGTGTTTTTTAATTATTGTTTTTATTATACTATAATTTGTTTACAACATTTAAATTAATATTTTAATAATTTATAAAATAAAATAAAATAAACTATCATTTTAAAAACAAAGTAAAATTTTTGTTTTGTTTAACAAATGACAGCTTTAATAAAAATATGTTAGCTTGAAAATATAATAAATAGATGATATGAATGTACAAAATTAACAATGAAAGAACGTAAACTATTTAAATAAATAAATAATAACTTTTATCAATTAATGTTAGTGCATTGCATAATAATTTTCCTATAGCGTTTTTTTTTTTAATTTAGCTTTAACAATTAAGTAAACTATAAAAAAATTGAAAATATAATAAAGTCGTATTTTTTCTTTTTGATTATTGTTTTTCCATGTTCTAAACAACACTAACCCGAATGAAACAGCTTAGAAAGAAAGAATTAAAAGTAGTAAACAATTCACAAACCCTAACTTCGAATTTGGAAGAAGAAGAAGAAAAATGTCTGGCGTGAAGAGAGCACTGAGGCAGTTCACGTTCGGAAGCGGCAAGACCGCCGGCCGCAACTCGTCGGGGCGCATAACGTCGTTTCACAGAGGCGGCGGAGCTAAGCGGCTGCAGCGAACCGTCGATCTCAAACGGAACACCACTTCTTCTCTAGGTGTCGTTGAACGGATCGAATACGACCCTAACCGCTCTTCCGACATCGCACTCGTTCGCTGGCTCCACGGAGTTCACCACCGCCAACGCCGCGCCGCCGCATCCGCCGCCTCTTCCAAGCTCCTCCACCTTGATCCCGCCGTCACTAACAGTAATAGCATTCGCGGTGTGTTTGCGCTAAATTCGATGTTGCCGCGCGCTGGAACTTCCACTAGAGACATTTTCCTGTCTGCGTTGTCGTCCAAGGCCAAGGGACGGGATTCGAAATCGGAATTGGAATCGGTTTCTTCGCTCGGATTGCCGCGGATCGCGGTTACCGTCGCGAGGGCTCCATTCTTTGCGCCTCGCATGAGAGGGCAAGAGACGTTGGAGGTTCGGAATTGGAGGAGGAATAGCGACGCGTGGGCGCATAGGAACAAGCGTAAAGCGGCGGTTTCGTGGCAAAGCATTGCGCGTTGAGTTGATGCTGTTTTGAATTGTAAAACTAAACTTATCTCTCTGTTTTTTAATTTGGGTTTTGGCGGATAAATTCTTAGTTGAGATTTTTTCTGGATATTGAGGTGTAAGGCTTGGATTGATGAGTAGTTTTTAGTTTGTTTGCTCTGGCCTTGATTGGTGGTGCAACTGAAAGCGAGAGAGGGGTTTGTTTTTCTGAACTGGAAATAATCAGCATCTTTGGAACAGAAATTAAGACTGATAGCTGCAATTTTATCGATGTACGTACTATTATGAAATATAAAGACCAGAACAGATGACTGTCATTTCCATTCCTTTGACTGAATATGCAATGGAGGAAAATACTTGCTTCTGTTAGACTAATTAATGTGCCAATGAATACTTCAACGGAGCACTCAGTGGCATTACGTTTTATTTAACAATCATAACCGACTACATAGAACCGCATGCCTCAATCACATTGAAACTGCTAGGAGCAAGTTTTGCACAGTTTCACAAAGTACTAACAAAAAAAATAACAAACTGAGAAAAACCTGACAATCCCTTCAATCCCTCCCTTAAACTAATGCATCTATACTAGTTATTCCAATCATAGTCTGAAGCCTTTCAAACTGGTTTAGTTTTAGGGGTTTTGTCATAATGTCTGCTAGTTGATCGTGCTAGTTGATCGTGAGAGCTGCAAAAACGTAGTCAAGTTCCATCATTCACCAAGTCTCGAAGAAAATGAAATCTTACATTGATATGTTTGTTTTTTTATGAAACATTGGGTTGGACAATTGTATTGCAGAGCTGTTATCACAAGAAATTTTAACTTCAGTCGTATCCTTAAGTCCAATTTGCTCTAGCAATTTGCTCAACCAAATACATTGACAAACACATATAGTTGCTGTCATATATTCCGTCTTTGTTGTGGACAAAGCTACCACATTTTGTTTCTTGGATGTCCAAGAAATTGCCCCTGTCCCTAACATAAACACATATCTAGAAGTGTTTTTTCTATCATCCAAATCTTCAGTGTAGTCATTATCCAAAAATGCTAGTAATTTTAAATTGCTAGTCCCCTTATACCAGATTCCAAAACTAGTTGTACCTCTAATATACCGCAAAATCCGTTTTGTTGCCAGTCAATGTGTTGTAGTAGGATTAGCCATGAATCTACTAAGTAAACTCATCGTGTAGATCAGATCACGTCTTGTGGCAGTTAAATAAATCAAACTCTTGACTAGTTGTTTAAACAAAGTATTTTCAACACCTCGTTCCCCTATATTCTTTGACAGCAGAGTCCCTGGCACTATGAAATTTTTCGTAGCATTGCTATCTTGCATTCCAAAATAGGATAAAATTTCCTGTGCATATCTCATTTGACAAACAAAGATTCTAGTCGAGCATTGTTTAACCTAAATACCAAGAAAGTGACTTATTATTCCCAAATCAAACATGTCAAAATGAGTCATCATGGATTGCTTAAACTCCTCACATAATTCCATCATTCCCAATGAATATCAAGTGCAAAGTAGGTCTCAATTTTGTGATGCCAAGCTCGAGGTGCCTGTTTGAGGCCATACAATACTTTCTTCAATTGATATACCTTCTCTTTTTCCCCTTTCTTAATAAAACCTTCAGGTTGTAGGACAAAGACATTTTCTTTAAGTTCTCCATGAAGAAAGACACTCTTGACATCAAGTTGAAACAACTTACAACTAAATTGAGCAGCAGTAGCCAAAATCAATCTAATGGTATCCAATCTAGCAACTAGAGCAAAAACTTATGTGTAGTCAATTCCATGTCTTTGTGCATATCCCTTTGCTACAAGCCTTGCCTTGTGCTTTTCTACTTTCCTTTCAGCATTTAATTTGGTTTTAAAAACCCATTTGACTCCAATCGATGTAACTCCATCCGATAGTAACGTGAGCTCCCATGTATGATTTTTTTCTATAGCTTCTATTTCTTTAACCATGGCTTTTCTCTAGTGTTTACTCCTTGCGGCTTCTTCAAATGATATAGGGTCATTCTTAGTCATTAGCATTATTGCAAAATTTTCTTCTTCTCATAGTCCTGCACCTGTGTCATAGTCTGCCAACCACCTTGGTGCACTTCTTGCTTGTGCACCCCTCCCTTGAGATGAACCGGGTGCAGTACTGTCCAGGCTAGTGTTGCTCCCTTCCTCACTATGATCAGCACCAGCTGCTGTTGTTGTTGCTGTATTATCATCTATATCTTCATATATCACCTCTTCTCGCTAATTTTGTAGCTCTAATTTGTTCCAGTCCCAACACTTCTCCTCCTCAAAGATTACGTCTCTACTAATGATCACAATTTTTGCGACTGGATCATATAACCTCCATGTTTTAGACTCATCACTGACTCCCAGAAAAATGTGTTTTTGGCTTTTGTCATTCAGCTTTACTCTCTTCTGGTCTGGGACATGTGCATGAGTCACACACCCAAAGACTCTAAAATACTCCACCACCGGTTTTCTACTGCTCCAGGCTTCTTCAGGAGTAACATCCTCTACAGTTGTTGGACATCTATTCTGGATATTGCACACACCATTTTACAGCTTCTGCCCAGAACACCTTGGGAACTTGCTTCTCACTTAACATAGAATGGAACTACATTCATAATTGTTCTATTCTTCCTTTCAACCACACCATTTTGCTGAGGAGTGTAGGAGGTAGTTAACTGTCTTTGTATGTCTTGTGTGTGACAAAATTCTTCAAACTCATTGGAGAGAAACTCTCCACCTCGGTCTGTCCGCAAGCACAGTATGTGTGCATTTGCCTCCTTCTCAACCTGCGCCTTAAATTTTTTGAACTTTGCTAGTGCTTCTTATTTCTCATGCAAAAAATACACTCACGTTTTCCTAGTAAAATCATCAATAAAACTTAGATAATACCTCTTATTACTTTGGGAGTCTGGCTCACAAATGTTCGAATATACTAGCTGGAGTCGTTTAGATGCTCTCCAAGTGCTTTGGCTTGGAAACGAACATCTAAATTGTTTTCCGTTAAACATGTATGACATGTTTTCTGCAGATAGGTCAAAGCAGGTAGACCTACCACCATTTCTTTGTCAGCCAAGATGCTCAAAGCTTTGTAATTCAAGTGTGCAAATCCTCGGCAGTGCCATAAATAGGCTCTAGCCTTTACAGTTTTTTATTAGAGGCATAATGACTGTGTCGGAGCCATAAATGCTGTCATATAGAACATTTTGTTCCCACATCTCAGTTTTCATAATCAATCCTTTTGTAGAATGAAACATCTTATAAGAGTCATCTGAAATCAGAATGGCTAAGCCCTTTTTTTGTAGTTGTTCGATGCTCAACAAATTATTGTTGAGCTTAGAAATGTAATAGATTTCGGACAGGACTTGAGTGATGCCATTAACATGCATCTGAATACTACCTTTTGTTGTCACTGCCATATGAGTATCATTTCCAAGCTTTACTGTCCTTGAATGTTCTTCTTCCAAATTCAGAAACCATGCCTTGTTTCTTGTCATATGATTGCTACACCCAAAATCAAAATACCACCGTTCCCTCTCTTGCGTCTGTTGCTCCTCATGTGCCATCAAGATAATTTCTTATTTATTGTCAATCTCAACATAATTGGCTTTCCTTTCCTAATCAGGGCATTCATTTTGAAAATGTCCGAGCTTATGACACTTAAAACATTCAATGGTGGTCTTGTTGAATGGCGGTCTTCCTCTCCCTCTTTCGCGACTTCCTCTAGGTCCACCACGGCCTTTGTCTCTGAGGTCGCTCCTCTTGAGTACTTCTACTGCTAGTGTCCTCATGGGTTGCCTTCGGCACATGTTCTTCCTCTTGTACCTCGTGCATCCATTGCTCATGCACCAACAGACTCCTGTGTAACTCATCAATGGTGAGAATATTGATGTCATTTGATTCCTCTATAGAGCAAACAACATTGTTGAATTTAGGAGTTAGAGATCTCAAGATTTTACTTACCATAGTCCTTTGTTCCATCACTTCTCCATTGGACTTCATTTTGCTCACCACAGTCATGGTGCGTCCCAGAAAACTGTCTATTTTTTCCCCTTCTTTCATGGTGAGTAGCTCAATTTTTCTCCTCAATGCTTCGAGTTGTGCACATTTCACTCTTGTAGACCCTGATACTTCTGTTTCATAGAATTCCAAATTGTTCGTGATGTGTTGTTGTCAAGAATAGTGTCCAATATTTCTTTGTCAATGAATTGGAATAGAAAATTTTTGACCGTCAAGTCTGAGTTTGGTTTCCTCCATAACTCTCTTTTGAGCTTCACCACCGGGTCCTGGACTAACCATAGGTGTAGGTACACCATTTTCCACAACTCCTTGCTCCGTAGGAAATTCTCTATGGTCATTGACCAAAAGTCATAATGACCATCCAATTTGGAAATGGCGGGCTACACAAATTCTGGGGTTGACATCGCACTGGATTAATAAGGAGAATTGCTTAGGTTTCTTCTAGGAAATCACTCGCTCACGGATTGAATCAGGCCCCTTGTGGAGCTCTGATACCAATTGTTAGACTAATTTTAACAAGCGGTGGATGTGCAAGACAAATGTGTCAATGAATACTTCAATGCAGCTGTCAGTGGTATTACGTTTTATTTAACAATCAAAACCGGTTATATAGAACCGCATATAGTGAAATAAACTGACTCAATCACATTGGAACTGCCCTACATATTAGGAGCAAGTTCGACATAGTTTGGCACCAATACTAACAAATATCTAACAAACAAAATAACAAATAACATAGTGAGAAAAACCTGACTGCTTACCATTTGGGATTAGTAGTAGAAAAAAGTCAACAATGCTAACTGGAGTTGATTATGGTTGTTTCCCCTTTTCAATTTAAGTTCACCATTTGCCTACATTTTAAAATATTTTTGAGAAGTGGTGCGGGTTTCTTAGTTGTTGGTTTGGGGCTTTGGATTTTTGAAGGTTCCGTTGGTGAAACACGTTGAGGATTACACTTAAGACTCTGCTTTATCTCTGG